TGGACAGTGTTCTCTATACTTTTATTCATCTTTTCCTATTCTAGAGTTTTGATTACATGTAGGTTATCCCTCTTGATGGTATCCCACATGAATCTTAGACTTTCTTCATTTTGATTTGATCTTTTTTCTGATTTATCCCTTTCCAAAGAAGTACTGAGTATTTGGGAGCTCTAGTGGCATAGTGCCTAAGGCATTTGACTGCTAACCAGAAGGTTGGCAGTTCAAACCCTCCAGCCACTCCTCAGAAGTCTACTTCCGTAGTGATACTGCCTGGGAAACCCAAGAAGGAGTCACTGTGAGTCATATTTGACTCCACGGCAATGAGGTTTTTTTTTTGTTTGTTTGTTTGTTTTAGTTTTTAAATAGAGTATTACCCAGTTTTCATTTATTTGATTATTTTCCCTAATCTTCCTGTTTCCCAGTTTATAGCATTGTGATCTGAGAAGGTCCTTCATAGTATTTCAGTGATTTAAAATTTATTGAAGCTTATTTTGTGGCCTAATATATGGTCTGTTTTGGAAAATGCTTCATATACATTGGAAAACAATGTGTATTGTGTTATTGTTGAGTGGAATGTTTTATATACATCTGTGAGGTCAAGTTCATTGGTTATGTTGTTTAGCTCTTCTGTATCTTTGTTGAGTTTCTTTCTAGTTGTTCTGTCCTTCATTGAAAGTGGTGTATTAAAGTCTCCTGCTATTGTTGTGAAGTTATCTGTTATTCTTTTCAGTTATATTAAAGTTTGATTTATATATTTTTTGTTCTTTCATTGCACATGGAGATATTTAGTATGGTTGGGTCCTCTTGTTCAGTTGATCCTTTTATCATTATTTAGTGTTCTTCCTTGTCTCTTTTGCTAAGTAGCTCTGGTAGTACTGTAGTTAAGACATTCAGCTGCTAATCAAAAGTTTGATGGTTCAAATCCACCACCTGCTCTGAAGGAGAAAGATGAGGCAATCTGCTTCCATAAATATTTACAGCCTTGGAAACCCTGTGGGGGTCACTACGAGTCAGAATTGACTCAGTGGTACTAAGGTGTCCCTTTTGCTGGCTTTTGCCTTAAAGTCTATTTTATCAGAAATTAATACTGGATCTCCTGCTGTTCTTTTTTTTAATTGCCATTTGTTTCATGTATGTTTTTCCATCCTTTGATTCTTACCTTATTTCTATCTTTGTGACTAAGGTGTGCCTTTTGTAGACAACATATTGATGGGTCATCTTTTCTTATCCTTGCTGCTATTCTCTGTCTCTTGGCAGGTGCATTTAATCCATTTACATTCAGTATATTATCAAGAAGTATGAATTTACTGCTGTCAGTTTGCTGTGTGTATTTTTTATGTGAATAGTGCTGATACTTTCTTTGTTCCATATATATTTCTATGCTGAATTCATTTTGTTTATATATTTTCATATTATTTTCTTCCTTACAGTTGCTTTAGTGTTTACTGAATCTTTAGTTTTTTCTCCTTTGTTGTTTTAATGAGAAAGTTTATTAATTTTCTTTTGAGGTTACCCTGTAATTTATTATTTTCTTCCCAAGTTTAAAACAATCCATTCTATCTTGAAATCATCAAGTTCCTCTCCATTGGGAAGTTTCTGTAACTACTATTTATTCCTTCCTTTTGCTTTGTAGTTGTCATCACTTACAAATTGCTATCTTTGTTTCCCTATTTTCAGTCTCTTAAATTTATTTCACTTTTAATACTTCTATATCTGCATTGATTTCAGGGTGATGTCATATGTCTTAATCTCAGGTTGTTACCTGCTGTTGTTAGTACTGTGTCCAAAGGACTCCCTTTAGCATATTTTTTGCAAGGTTAGTCTGCAAGGTTTTTACAAATTCCCTTAATCTTTTTTTTTTTTAATCTGGAACTGTCCTAATTTTGCCATAATATTTGAGTGACAGTTTTGCTGGATATGTAATTCTTGGTTGGCAATTTTTTTCTGTCAATATTTTATGTATGGCATCCCATTACCTTCTTTCATGCATGTTTTCTGCCAAGAAATCAGAGTTTAGTCTTACTGGTTTGCCCTTGTTGGTGACTTTTCTTTTTTCCTGAACTGCTTTTAAGATTCTTTCTTTGTCCTGGAAAGTTTGGCTTTTGATATATCTTGGTGATTTTCTTTGGGAACCTATCCTATTTGGGCTTCATTGAGCTTCTTGAATACATATCTTCTTACCTTTCATGATATCAGGGGGGTTTTGTTCCAACAAATCTTGAACGATTTTTTAGGTGCTTTTTTGGTCTGTTCCTGTTCTGGAATTCTGTTCACACGTAAGTTATTCTTCTTGAGGTGTCACACATAAGTTTTAGGCTTTTATCAGTCCTTTTTTTCTGATTTTCTTCTAACAGTTTAGTATCAAGAGATTTTTCTTCAATTTTGTTAATTCTGTCTTCCATTAATTCTATTCTACTCCTTTGTCCTTCCAATATTTTATCTGTTTCTGAAAATTTAGAATTGATCTTCTGGATTTTTGTTTGCTCTTTTTGTGTGATTTCTAATTTCTATTTATTTTGTCAATCCTTTTCTTGTATTGTTTTCATGAATTTTTTTTTAGTGTTGTCTATGTTGTCCTTGATTTTGCCTATGATTTCCTTGGTGTTATCTTTGTTGTCCTTGATCTCTTTCTTAATCTGCTGAAGGGACCTAAGTATAATTTGTTTGAATTCCTTATTAGGTAGTTACAATAGCATTTATTCCCACAAGATTTTCCTACCTTGTATTTTAGTCACTTGTTTGTGCTATTTTGTATAGCACCCTCTCTCATTGATCCAGAGGTGCTACAGTTCATTGTGACACTCGGCTATTGGGTGGGATGGAAAGCATAGTGGGTATGCCTGGGTAGGGCCAATGGCTCCCCACTGACAGGGGAAAAAAAATGAGGCATAAGAAGAAGAAATAAAAGGAAAAATAAACAAGGAAGAGATATGAAGTAAGAAGAAAGAAGAAAAGCAGCATAGCACTGGTGCAAGCTCTAGCTCCCAAACATAGCTGCAGCAGGAATGCAGCATTCACTGTGCAGGAGTGTGCACCACTGATCAGAGGGACAGGGGCTGGTGTTGCTGACTATAGAGGAGCAGGGTCAGGGTCCCTGCTCCACAGGATCAAAACAGGAAAAGGAGGGAAGAACAGGAAAACAAAAAGAAGAAGAAGAAGGGAATATATGGGGGAAGAACTATGAAAAAAGAAAAATGGGGGAAAAAAAGGAAAGGAAAGCATCAGAGTACTGGGGCAAGCACTAGCCACCAAACACAGCTGCAGTGGAAATGTGGTGCTCACTCTGTGGGAGCATGCACTGCCAACTGGTAGACTGGTAGGAGTGGGCACTAATGCCACAGAAGTGGCAGGGGACAGAGCGCCCACTCCACAGGATCAATAAAATTAAAAAAAAAAAAAAATGAGAAAGGAGGAAGGAGAAAAAGAAAGAAAAATAAAGGTCAGAAAAGGAGAAACATGGAGAGAGGGAAGAACAACAAAAAAAAGCAGTGCAGGACTGGTGCAACTGTTCATTGCCAAACATGGCTGCAGTGGAAACACGATGCTTCACAGGAGTGCATGCTACTGACTGTGGAGAAGCAGGGGCAGACACTGCTGGCCATGGATGCAGTGAGTGGCAAAGCCCCTGCTCTGCAAAACCAAATAAAGGAAGGAGGGAGATGAAGAAAAGGAAAAAAGAAATAAACAAGGAAAGGTGAAATCGGAAGAATTTTTTAAAAAGGAAGGAAGAGTGGCACAGTACTGATGCATCCGCTAGCTGTAGTGGAAGCATGGCATTTGCTCCATGGGAGTGTGCACCGCTGACTGTGAAGATACAGAAGCAGGCACTGCTGACCAAGGAAGAGGTGGGGCAGTGCACCTGGCTCTGGGATAGCAAAATAAAAGGAAGAAAAATAGAAATTTAAACAGGATGGCAAGGGGGAAGAACTAAGAGGAAAGAAAAGTGGCACGGCACTGGCAGTGGGAGGATTTTGACTGGCTTTTGTTGGGGAGGGTGTTCTTGCTTCTGGTCATGGGGTGGTTGTACAGGATAAGGAGAGGATCATACCTCTCTGGTTGCTGATCACCAATGTGAGTGCCAGTGCAATGCTGAGTGAGCAGAGTTGGTTATCCGGTCCCTGTCTCAGTCAGAACACTGCTTGCAATAATTCAAAATGGCCATAATGTTGGTCCTATTGGCAGTTTACCACCCCATATGTCTCCTTGTTCACTGTCTTCATTCATTCTTTTCCTCTAATCAATATTTGATCTATTTCTTTATCCTTTCCTTTGAGGCTCTGAATTCCAGGATTGTCATCCGTATCCATTTCACTTAGTTTCTTAGATCTTTGTTGTAGAGAGTCTGGATAGTATATCTACCCAGTCCACTGTCTTGGCCACCAGCAGAGAAGATCTTTGTACCCATTAAAAAAAAAAAAAAAAAACCTCACTGCCGTTAAGTCAATCCAACTCATAGCGACCCTTCCTTGGGTTTCCAAGGCAGTATCTCTACAGAAATAGATTCTCTAATCTTCCTTCTGAGGAGTGGCTGGTGGGTTTGAACTTCCAGCCTTCTGGTTAGCAGTCAAATGCCATAGGCTTCTCAGATTTCCTTAGTGATACCAGATATTTAATAGGAGACCTATTACTTGTTCTTTAAGTAAAGATCAAAAGCTTAATATAAATAAAACTAGTTTGAATGAATTTCAGTGTCTGTAAAAATATTACCAATCTTTTTCTAAATAGAAATCTACAATCACTGGCAAAGGAAATTAAAATTAAGAGAAGAGAGGTGGGAATAAAAACGGGAGCCTCTAGAATTGAAGAAAACCTTCTTAAACTCACATTTTCAGCTGAGGTCTGCCCTGTTTCGGTTACCAGCACACCAAGAAACAGTTGCTGTGAAGTACATCTGACCTCCCACGTTCAGAATAGCCATGCACTTGACATTGATTTTAGATGGTGTTTATCTAATGAGCATTATTATTTCTCTTATGAAAATAAAATTATCTGTTCTTTAGGTGTTTGCAGATACTTCTAGATGATGAAGGTGATGACATTGGAGAAGTATTTTATATCCATTTTAATGTGAGTAACAATAAAAACCAGATCACAGATCAGCTTTTAATTGATTTACCTAAAAACACACCCATTACTATTTTAAAAAGAAATCTTAATTGGCCAGTGGGAGAGGAAAGGAACTGTAGGAAGCTGTGGGTGGGGCCAGGAGGGGTTGGAACAGGATGCTTCACCCACCAGGGAGTGTGTTTGCTGGTTGCCCATGAGTTACCACACTGGGTGACACCCACCCTAGTGATGCCACCAGTCTTAGGTTTAGAAAGAAAGGCAAGGCCCAACACATGAGTGTCTTTTGAAGCTTCTGATTGTGTCAGATCCCATTGGCCAGAGCAATTCATATGGTCACACCTGATTTAAGGGGTTAAAAATAGACTCTACAACTTGATGGGAGGTGTTATAGTCACATTACAAAGAGGTGTGCATACCAGGATTAGAAGAATCTGTAGCCATTTTTGTGGTCTGTCATACTGGGTTTATACTATTTAAAGTGAATATTGAGATAGGACAATTTTCCAACTGATTTTTTTCAGTGTGATTACTTAAAATACATAATTGAGGTTTGGAAAAAAAATTATTTTTCATTCTGTATGATACCATGGTCTTTTTTTGGTGATCATTTTTTACTTGTACTTTTCATGCTAGTTTTATGACAAAAATGTACATTATTACCAGTTTTTTAGGAAAAGATGATATGCTCCATGGTGATTATGTTAATGATATATTCTTCAGAATTATTTTGGAGATACTGCCTGTGTTTGTTTGTGGTTATAGATCTGTTGGGACAAAAATGATGTAGAATTAATTCCAAATGGAAGTTGCATAATGGTTGACCAGACTAACAAGTAAGTATAAAGAAATAAAATATTTGTTTTGTATATGGTGTAGGAGCTCTGGTAGCATAGTGCCTAAGGCACTTGACTGCTCACCAGAAGGCTGGCGGTTCAAACCCACCAGCCACTCCTCGGAAGGAAGGTTGGGCAATCCTACTTCCGTAGTGATATTGCCTCGGAAACCCAAGGAGGGGTCGCTATGAGTCAGGGCCGACTCGACGGCAAACAACAACATATGGTGTAGTGGGTAAGGCATTTGGCCGCTAACCAGAAGGTGGGTGGTTCAAACCCACCACCACAGGGGGGAAGATGAGGCAATCTATCACCATAAAGATTTATATCCTTGGAAACCCAGTGGGGATTGCTATGAGTGGAGATTGACTCAATGGCAGTGGGTTTGGGTTTTTTTTTTTGGTTTATATACATTGTATTTCTTTCACTAAGTTCAAAATTTCCTTTTAGTTCTTATAATTTTCCATTCCCAATTGGAAATTTTCCATTCCCAATCATTTATTAATAAGTCAAAAAAGTTTATGTGTGTTGTATATACATGAATGTGTCTCACAGAATTTATATTCTGGTAGTGAAAGAAATGGCTCTCTCAAAGAGCCTTTTCCTTATCCTCTTATCTAAATCATACTATCAACTTCTAGCCTCTTTACCCTCTTATTCTACTTTACTTTTCCTTTTTACATAAGACATTGCCTAACTTTAGGATTTATGCTTTTGTTTATTTATCAGTCCATCAGTCCATCAGTTTTTCCCTACTGTACTGGTCTTGGTCTGTCTTGTTCACTACTATACATCAAATACCTAGAATAGTCTACAGTAGTGCCTAGTACATAGCGGGCACTTAGTAATTATTTGTTGAAGTGGTTACTGTGGTGGTATCTTGAGTTGGCAACACCTGTGGGATCCTATTTAAAGCCATAGAATTTTAGATTATAGAACATTCCCTTGACAATTGATCGGAGTGGCACAGTGAGCACTAGAGAGCATTCTGGCCTAAGACAAATATTTTTCTTTAATAATAAGTTAAAACTTAGAAATATAATATGTGTACAGAAAAGTATGCAAATTATAACTTTAGAGTTCAAACTTTTCACAACGTGAAAATAGCTGTATAGTTAGCAACCATATGAAAAAATAGAACATTTCTAGTTGCATAGTATCATATAAATATACTACAATTTATTTATCCATTGTATTATTGATGGACATAATGTGTTTTTGGTTTCAGGCTGTTATAAATTATGTTCTGTGAATATTCTTCTATGTGGTGTTTTTTTTTTGTTTGTTTCTTTGGTTTTTTTTGGTTATTTCCATTGGTATATAACTGGAAACAGAATTGCAGAGTGCATTGTGGTTGCCTCATACAGGGCAGAACTAACCCTCCAACCAAAAATTGGTTTGAATGTTGATATTGATGATGCCACACATATCATAAGATGGTATGAAAGGTTTAATCATTCACATGAGGCTTTGCAGGGAGAACAGGGCAGGCACACAAGCTGGTTGATTTCACTTGAGTGAAGGAAGGGACAGATGGCTCTGATTTTCATTGTGGTTAGGGTGTGGGGCCAGGATGAGGGTTTCCATGCAGGCCAGACTTGCATGGTTTAAGGTTCCCACACTGGTACCAAATGAGAAAGTATGTGGGCTTTCTTATTGGGTTGTGCAGATCTGTCGCAAAAGAGTGAGGAAAGAGGGAGTGGGATCTGAAAGTTGCCAGCAGTCAACATCAAAAATGGAGTCAAACATCTGCAAACCAAAAAGAGGGACTAAATAGTGTAGTTATAGAACTTCTAAATGGTGAGGAAGTCAAGACAATAGAGAGAAAGAACAGTTTTACACTTGAAAAGAAGATTATAAATCACAGGGTAACCTCCAAGAAAAATAATAAACCTTCT